ATATGTACACATTGCAAAATAAAAATATAGATAACCAAAAAGCATGGTGTGCTTACTAATCATACAATTGACAACTAGTGCAACTAGGTGTGTACTAAGAGAAAAAGTTATAGCCAACAAATACTATGTGCTTACTGCATGCCAGGCAGTGTGCTAAATGCTTTAAATAACTAGATTACTTCATTTGATCCTCACAACAGCACATGTGGTGGGTGCCTTTATTAGCCCCATGTTATAGATGAGGGGACTAAGGTGTAGTCATTCACCTGGGGCCTTGTAGCTCGTGTGTTAGAGCCAGAATTTGCAGCCAGGCCACCTGGGGGACTCCATAGCAGGTGCTCTTAACCTCTCAGCAGTCCAGTGGGGAAGTGATATAGTAGGACTTCTCGTAGAGTGGTTCTCAGACCATCTGTATCAGAATTATCTGAGATGTGTCAAAAATTGAGATCTATAGGTCTCACCTTGGACCAACTGAAAGCAGAATTTCTCAAACACTGATATTTGAGACTTACTGAGTTGGGGCTGGTGTCTGGGTTCTAGAAGGCAATGGAATCTTGGCTTCTCTAGTCCCCTGCAGTTTGGGTCTTGTCCTTCTGAAATTGACATTATAGTCTATGCTGCTTTCTTTCTCTGGGCTATTGGAGGGGTGCATTCCATTCTGAGAGTGGGTGAAGTCATGCTGACGTTAATGCTGGAGGAGGCATTTTGAGAGTATCTTTTATTCACATTTTCCCTTCATTTGCTTCTTTCCCCTCTAGAACCTCACCCTGCCCACTCCCCCTCAGGGGTGGGATTCACTTCTCGGCCTGTGCCCTGCGTGGCTTACCACCTGGGTCGGGGAGAAACAGGGGAAGGCAGGGGAACATGGTGTGGTTTGGTGCTCAGTGGGGGATGCTCCCTGGGAGAGGAGCAGTTGCTCTGTGGTTCCTCTCAAGCCCAGCCAGGCTCTCACGTGGAGGGGGAGCTTTCCATGAAGTTTAGCTGCTTCATGCTGAGAGCAGTTGTGGGGAGAGTGGAGTTGCAGCCTGGGGTGTGAAGTGGAAATCCTTTCACCCACAGTGGTGGTCTGCACATGTCCATGTCTTTCGTGAAATGGAGGGTTAATCTCCCTAAGAGCTTGGAGCCAGGTGATGCTGATAAACAGGAGGAAATGTGAATCTTTCTCTCATCCACTAGCAAGTTTGCAGGGCTGATCCACTTACACTCTCTGCCTTGAGTGAGCACAACAGTGAGTTTTATGCAGCTCACTTTTTGGGCTGTTCACACACCGTGGCCTTGGGGAGGTCCAGAGGTGTGGGGAGGGCCCTGGGCTGGGAGTGAGGAGAGCTGGTTCTGTGTCAGCTAAGCTACCAGCTTCCTTCATTACCTCAGGAAAGTCACTCGCCCACTCTGCGCTTGAGTTTTCTTATCTGAAAATTGTTGGATTTGGGTGGGATCATCGTGCATGTTCCTTCTTGCTCTCAAGTTCTGCTTCTGTGATTAGTGACAGGGAGGCGGGGGCAGGTGTGGCAGAGCCCTGGATGCTTCTTCTTTATTTCTGTCTCATGTGCCTGCCTTCCCCCAAATGAGCAGGTAGTGAGTTCCGTTTGTGTCTCCTCTTGCACAGCTCTGTGTTTCAGTGGCCTGAAGATGCCCAGAGTTGGTGTGGTGAGGAGAGTCTCTGGAGCCTGGGGCCCCCTGGGCCCTGGGGAAGGACGGCCTGCTTGGTAGGTTTCCTGCCATCGCACAGACTTCTCATGCTTTGGTTTGATGGGACTTCCCTCCCTGTTCTCCCCCCTCCTCCACAACCTACCCCTGAGCATCACATTCAGTTTCTGGAGTGGATTATGAGTGTTTGATAACTTTCCTGGCTGTTTCCTGCCTGTGGGTCCCTGAAACAAATAGCAGGAAACTCTCATAGCCTTCGGGGTCTCTGCTTCATGTTTTCCTCTTTCCTCATAGAGCCTGAGAGAACACACAGGGCACAGAGAGACACATGTGCATGCTCTAGCTCCCAGCATTCATATATGGTGAAGGGTGGGGTGGGATTATATTCTTAATATTGTCTGGGGGCTGGCATAACATATGTGAACCCATGTGGTGTCCTAATGTCTTGTATGTTGCTGCTACTTAAGACTTTAGAGTGGGTGCTATGCACGTGTTGAGTGTATTACCTGTAGCTGGGTGTGTGCATGTGGATCAGAGTGTGTGGTCAATGGCAGTTGATGCTAAAAGGAAGTAATTCAGGGCTGGGGTTCTCTATTTATGTTTCCGCTGTTGCACAATCAACTGGTAACTTGTGTTGTCAGATCGCTTATTGAAAAGGTGTTAGAAATTTCCTTAATCTGGTCTGAAATTCACCTTGTTTTATTTTTGGGTGTGTAATGTATGAAGGTGTGGGCAGGTGGAGGATGAAACACTAGACCTTCCAAACAGTCTGAGGTCAGTTCTCAGAAATTAGGTGTTGATTGTTTGGCCATCACCACCCTTGGGTTTGTGAGTAGGACCCAGAGGATTTGAGCGCTTCTGTGGCAGAGGTGTCATCCTGTTCTGAGAAGGTTAGAGACACATTGACAAGCAGGAAACAGGTCAAATTTGTGTCTTGTTTCTATCCAGTATTTAGGCATTCTGACCTTTAAAAACAATTTAATTTCACTGATACTGTCACCTACCTACCAAGGGCCAGTTGCTGAATTTTCAAAGATAAATTATATTCAGTCCCTATCCTCAGGAGTTTGTTTTTTCTTGAACAAGGCTTTCTGGTCCTAATTCCCTCAGTACCCAGCTGTATCTCACTAATAGCCTTTGGAACACTCAGAACCAGACGGGCAAGGAGAGATACTAGAGTGGCTGATGGAGGAGAGTGGGGCCGGGGTCCAGCCCTTGCACTTTCTGACTCTCCTTTTCAGGTGCACAGTGACCATGGGAAGTAGGAAACTGGGTTCCTTAGGGAATGCTGTGGTAGGTAGTGTGGTGAGGATGGCAGCTCTGATGGTCCCTCAGCTCATCTCTCAACTCCTCAAGCTATGAGAGCATGCCCTCCAGCACTCCCAGAGATGGAGATTGAGTGTATTTCCTTGAGGGACTGGAAACAGGATTTGTTAGCTACTCTTAAGAACATTGGCAGTAACAAGCAGGGCAATTTGAGGCCTGTGGAGTTGTGAAATTGTCTTGTGGAATTGTCTCTAGGGAACTGCAATTACTTCCCTCTGTTCAGACCAGGAAATTGGACAGTAGCTAAGGGTGGGGCAGAAAGAAAGATGTGCAAAAATGCTCAGACCAACTGGTGCCAAATTTTTTCTAAGGTTCAAGTACTAAGCTCATACCCCTCCACTGTACTGTAGCCTCTCTGCTGTACCACATCTCCTCTGCCTTATGGCATCCCCTCTGCCATGTGGAGGCACTAAGTCAACTCGGGTGGGACCCCACCCCTCTGTTGAAAATCCATTCTGCTAAGGCTTCCTGATGTCCTTTTGTGACTTCTTTTCCCCCTCAACACTGCCTTTGATATTCATTTTAGCTGGATGTTATTTGTGCAAAAGCACTGGTGGCAGAGTGAGGGACATTTTTCCAGTCCTGACATTCTTAGGGTTGGCTCTGGGCCCTGCACATTTCTACTTCTCCAGGATGACCCTGGGAACTTACTTCTAGCCTGGGTCCTATCGTAGCTTTTGCACCAGCCCAGGTGCTGCCTAAGTACAGTTTAGTGAGAGAGAAAGGCAGAGTTAGAGAGAGACAGAGACAGAGAGGTCTCAAGCACTGGGATGTGTCAGGTGTCCATGTGCCTTTGGAGTTGGGTGGAACAGACCTGGATTTAAATTCTCGTTTTGTCCTTTATTAACGGTGTGATCTTTGTGAGTGACGTAAGCTCTCTAAGACTCAGTTGCTACATCTGTAAAGTGGAGATGATGCCTACATAATAGTTATAATAGTACCAACATGTGTCGAGCACTTTAAACTTATTAATTCAGTTAATCCTCATACATTTCTAGGAATTAAGTACTAATGTAGTTGTCATCTTTCAGATGAGGAAACTGAGGCACGGAGAAGTTATTCAGCAGGCCCAAGTTAATGTAATTTGTAAGTGGTGGAGCTGTGATCCTGAACTTGGACCGTCTGACCCCAGAGCCTGTATCCTTAACTACTGCAGTAGACTGTGTAGTTCACTGAATGTTAACAAGAATTAATTGAGATAAATATTTGAAGCACCAGGTATAGTGCTTGGCACACAGTAGGCACTGAGTAAATGGTAGCTGTTACCACCAGAGCTGAGAAGCCTGCTTCCATGTGGGTGTGTGGAAGATGTGGCCCTGGGTCAGGATGAGGCAGAGAGATGGGTCCTCCTGCCAACCTGGGGTTTGGCACAGTGTCAGAGCTTCTTCCACCCTCACTCTGTAGGACAGGGCTTGTTGGCAAAGTCTTGTCCCTGCCATCCCAAAGTTGCCTGACAAGCCCCATAAGGAAAACACAGGTTCTGAAACTGGGTGGCCATAGGGAGGGTCCCCCTCCCAGAGAGCCACTTGCTCTAGAATCGCTTTTCTGGCTCTGCTTCAGAGGAGTCTGGCTGTTCATTTCCTGATGTCTTACCCATTTTGTCAGGGCTCCCAGATAAGCTACCTGTGGAACAGAGTAGGGCTGCTACCTAAATTGGCACAGGGTGAGGGTTAATGCCAGGAAGCTAAGGAGGCCCAGGGAAACCCACATGTGGGCTTCAGAGGAGGGACTATCAGCCTGGCTCTGTTTCTTGTCACATGTACCTTCAGGCTTGAACTGAAACTTTGGCTCCCCTGGGTCTTGAGCCTGCTGGCCTTCAGTCTGGAACTACATCATTGGCTCTCCTGAGTCTCTAGCTTTCTGACTCACCCTGCAGATTGGGACTTGTCAGCCTCTATCATCATGTGAGCCAATTCTTTATAAGTCTCTCTCTTTATATCTATCAATCTATCTATCTATGTGTCTTTGTATCTATATCTAGATATATATCCGAACTGTTGGTTCTGTTTCCCTGGAGAACCCTGACTAATACACTTAGGGTCTGGATTTTAGAAATATTCTAGAGAAAAGGAAAGAATTTTGTCTACCTTTCTTGGCGCTGGATTAACATGGGGCACACTTTAAAAATGGTGCTTACCTTCAATAGCTTTTCATCTGTGCTCTTCTCCTTTTTCCAAGATTTCAGGCACAAAGGGCTTTGATGCTTCCATTAGCCCTCCACTGTAATCCCTGACCTAGGCCCAAATTTTCTTTGCTTTTGAGTCCTCTTCCCAACCGCACTCCATCAAAGCTCCCAACTCAGTGTGGTAGATTGGAGGTGGGGAAAAGCAGTCGGACTGTTCGAGTGATTCATGTACTGTTGAAAGTTCTCTAACGTTCTCCAAATCATTTGCTAAATGAATTGGATGAAATATCAAGTAATTTAATAAAGTGGGGTGAGAATTTTAGGCAGAGTGGGGGTGCTATCTCTGAGTAATTACCCAAAGGTCAGGCAGGATCGCCTTCTTGGGAGTCAGTCTTAGGGTCAGCATCTCCTATGCACTTACTGCCTTGACGCATTCTTCCCCTTTCCACCTCTGAAACCACAGCTGCTCTAAAAACAACATCAAATAAGCACTCCCGCTGAGGTAGCAATGGAGATTCTACTGCTGATACAAGAAGAGAGAAGGAAGCACTATTTGCATGTTTGCCTTGGATCTTTGTAAGTTAGCAAATACTTATGATTTTAAAAGGCCCGTTTTAGAAGAATAGAGACTGTTTTAAAGATGATGAGAAAATCAGTAGTTTTATGTCATGTGCGGCCGTAAATGGAGAAAAGACCGGGTATGAGAGCAGATTTTAATGAGGTATTAGAGGCTTCCTGTTTGAGAAGGTGTTGAAAAGTCAAGTCTGCAGTGAAGCTGCTCCAACTTAAAGTACTTAGCACCTAGCATATGATAGGATAGATCTTCCCTCCAGGTGTCCTGTGGGAAGGAGGGGGAATTTATGGGAAAAATCATGATATAAAAGAAAACTACAAACTCCCTGCATCTATTTTAAAATTGGAATGTATTTAGATATTTCTCATACTAAAAAAAAATCCCTTTTTAGAACCTATTTCTCTTGCTGCCTTCCACTGTATCACTCTCATCCTTTTAAATAGAGAAACTTCTTAAAAGAATTGTTTTTCATCACCATCTCCTTCTACTTATCTCCCATCTACTCCTCAGGATCGTGGAGTTGATGTTTTCCTCCTGTCCTGCAAATGAAACTGCTCTAACCAAGGTCTCCAATGGTGAAATCGTCCCCAAATACAATAAACCCTTCTCAGCTTTTTTTTTAACCTGATATCACAGGCACTCCCCTCTGTTGACCACTGTTCATTCTGGAGCTGCTGCCGTGGCCCTCACTCTGTGGCTTCCCACCAATCTGGCCGTTCCTTTTCAGTTTGGCCACCTCCTCTGATCTGCACATCCCATAAGTGTCAGTGGTCTTTAGAGTTCTGTCCTATGCCCTCTTCTCTTTCTTTTTCTTTCTTTCTTTCTTTCTTTTTTTTGAGGAAGATTAGCCCTGAGCTAACTGCTGCCAATCCTCCTCTTTTTGCTGAGGAAGACTGGCCCTGAGCTAACATCCATGCCCATCTTCCTCTACTTTATGTGTGGGACACCTACCACAACATGGTGTGCCAAGCGGTGCCATATCGGCACTCGGGATCCGAACCTGTGAACCCTGGGCTGCTGAAGCAGAACATGAGAACTTAACCGCTGTGCCACTGGGCCGGCCCCCTTTTCTCTCTCTATGTGTACTCACTGGGTCCTCTGTGAGTTCAGTTATCTTCACTCTTTCTTGAGTCGTATATTTCAACTGTCTGCTGGGTATCCACTTTTGAATATACAACATGTTTAAAACTGACCTTATCTTATCTCAAAACCTGATTCTTTAAAAAATGTATATTTTTCTTGGCTGGTCCCCACAGAAACCTGGCCACATCCTTGAGTCCTCCCTTTGTCATTTTCTCATCTAGTCAGTCACTGAGTTATGACAACACTGCATCGTAAATGTCTCTCTAACCTGTCCACTCCTTTTTCCAACCTTACTCATACTCTGATTCAGGCCACCATCATTTCCTTCTCTAGATCACTGGAATGGTCTTCTCTCCGACTCCCCTCCTTGTCTTCAGTGTAATTCCATGTCCCCTCTAATTCATGGTCCACAGTGCAACTAGGGCAGTCTTAGAAAATAAAATGCTGATCTTTTCCCATTATTAAAGTGATTTTATCATTCTCTATTGCCCCAGGATGCACTTTGATCTCGTTGGAATGGCTCCCAAGTTTTTTGTCATGTTACAAATTTAAAAGACCTCAGTCTTCTCCAGCTTCATTTGTGCCAGTCCTGCTGCTCATCTCACACCAGTTCTTGCAATTTATACTCCAGTCACACCAAACTACTTTAATTCCTTAAATGCCCCGGTTCTCTATAATGTCTGTGACTTTGTACTTACTCTGTCTGCCCTAGAACACTCATTTCATGCCTCTTTATTTGTTAATTTTTGACCTCCTTCTGGCCTTGCTTCAATCATGACTTCTCCTGTAATCCTACACTCACACACCAACCCCAGATTGTGATTCTGCAGTATCCAATGCTCACCCCTTTTGTAGCAATTACCATGCTCTCCTGAGAATGCCTGGTGAATGTGCTGTAAACATCTTGTAGGCAGGTTCTCCTTGTTTCATTGTTCAATTTCTGGAGCCTAGAAAAGTACCTGTCACATAATAGATGCTCAGTAAATATTTATGTTATCAATGAATGATTTATCTTAGTTACTTTGGACATATTTTTCGTTAGGCCAATTGAAGAAGTGGTAAAGAGCTGGCAAAGAGACAGCAGAAATAAGGTCAAGGGATTGATGTCAGTTTTTTTAAAAGGTTAAAGCAAATGTTTAGATTTTTGGTGTTTTACAAGCCAGCTATGGGTCTTAATGAGCTTATGGAATACTATAGCTAAATCTAAACTCCAGCCAGCTGATATAGCCCTTATCCAGCCCTTAAGGTTCTTTTTTTTTTTTTTACAACAGCTTTATTGAGCTATAATTCATATACCACACAATTCATCCAGTGTATAATTCAATGGTTTTTACCGTACTGACAGAATTGTGTAAACTTCACCACAATTAATTTTAGAATATTTTCATCACTCCAGTAAGGAACCCCATACCCATTAGCAATTACACTTCATTCCAATCCCTCCCCCTGTCTCCTCCCTCCATCCCCTGGAAACCATGAATCTAGTTTTCGTCTCTATGAATTTGCCTGTTCTGGGTATTTCATATGAATGGAATCATTTAATGTGTGGTCTTTGTGAGTGGTTTCTTTCACTTAGCATAATGTTTTCAAGATTCATCCATGTTATATCATGTATCAGTACATTATTTCTTTTTACTGCCAAATGATATTCCATTGTAAACTTCATTTTGTTTATCCATTCATCAGTTGATGGACATTTGGGTTGTTTCCAAATTTTGGCTGTTACATATAATGCTGCTAATGAACATTTGTGTACAAGTTCTTGTGTGAATGTACATTTTCATTTCTCTTGAGTATATACCTGGGAGTGGAATTGCTAGGTCATATGGAGGCCTTAGGATTCTTAAGAACAGAGGTTACTTTAGAGAATAAGCTCACAAACATGTAAGCACTAATAGCTCTTCCTCTTTAATTTGTTAATTAATGGTAAGCAATTTGTGTAGCTGGTTCTTTGAAGAACTGACATCAATCAAATTTTTATGTCTAATGTAAAGTAGCCAGTGAATATGCAAAGTATAATTCTCCTGTGTAGGATAATAAAGCCCTTCTTGGGTTTAAATGGAAGTGGGAGAATTTGGCGTCTGTTTCTGCACATTTCCCCTCCCTTCCACCCCACCCCTGGACCATAAAAGGCTGGGTGACGGAGGTAACCAGGAAAGCTGCAGTTGTATGAATGGGTATATTAGCTGATAAGAGTAACAGTTAACTTATTGCATCCATCTCTGCGTTTATGATAGGAATTTATTGTTCCTTTTGTCTTACCCTTCCCTTTGGCTCTTCTCCACATATCTCTGCCACCAGATACACTCCTGTTTTTTTCCTGATCTTCCCATTCTGCTTAAACTCCTGGTCACATCAAACTGTTCCTATGTCCTATATAAGTTAAGACATAAAATTATGAGACCCATGTGAGTTACAGGATTCCTTTTACAAGTATATCATATCCAGGTAAATATGGGTACCAAAAAGTAGTTGTTCTGGGTGCCTCTACATTTATTCCAAAAGTTCTGTCATTACTCAAAATATTTTGGTCACTTATCTTGAGAGTCGTTCTCAAAACCAATCTGAGCCCTACAAGCAGACCAGTTTTACTTCCTTGTAATCATACTTAGTATTTCAGGGAGGCTGCTGCTCTGTTTGTATTTATTTGTCTTCCTGTTCCAAGTTCCCCTTTTCCTTTCTTGCTGTAGTCCCCAAGCAAGAAGAGTTCTGGGTTCAGATGGGGCTTCAAGTATGGGGCAAGTCTGGTAGTCATAGAGAGCCCAGCAGTGAAGGGAGATCGGCATGCTCCACAGGACTATGACTTTAAACAAAGCATGCCGAAGCTGCTCTTTTTAGTGTGTTCTCTCCAATCACCCATTTCTGCCTTGTGTTCCTCTCCTCCAGGTTTTTTACGGAAAAGAACCATCAAATCCTAGGGCTAGGATCATAGCTTTGAACCGTCCTCCTCTCAGAGGAAACTTGGGGAGAATGGGTAGGGAGAGGTACTTCCCAGGGCTCCATTTCCTTTTGTTCCTGGGGAGTTAATGTTCTACCAGAAATTCCCGCTCTTGGGAAGCCATGATCATGTTCCAGCCCCACATCCCTGCTCAGGGTAGAGGGCACTTTGTACAGAGAGTTGTGACTTGAGAGAGATCTGTACCTGACCTTCCGACTTCATCTTTAGAGTCTAGCTGTCTGTGCTCTTGCATTTTCTCAATTCTTGGGCTCTGGATCCTCATATTCTCTTCCTCTCTGAGTCTCTGCTCTGGGAGGGAAATGAGGATGTTTACTAGTGGGGGGAAAAGAAACCTTGAAGATTGCAAAGCAAAAATTAACATAAAGATTGGCTCCCTGCCCATCATGCCTCCTTCTCCTCCCCAGCATTTCTGAACCCCCCCAAACCCCAGTGAGATGCTAGCTGATTGTACAAATATGTCTACAGGATTCCTCAAAGGTAAGACTAGTTTTGAAAACTTTATTTCCTGGATAGCATCTTATCTACTTTTCTCTTTTCCAGAGGATTCTACTTCTCATAAATAAGTATGAGGCCAATCGCCTAGAAATTCAGCTCCCTTAACCCTTTGTTAATCACATAATGAATGATGTAGAGGCTGTTTAGATAATATAGCTGTGGGGAGAGAAAGGAGACATTGGAACACCTACCAGAGATGGAGCCAGAGATCACCATTAGTGAGTGAATGCACGTCTCTGGAGCAGAGTAAGAGAGGAGGTAGAAACAAGGAAGCAAGGTCAAGTAAGCCAAAGAATTGTAGAAATTGAGGGTATAATCCATAGGGGACTTGCAAAGGGCTTAACAGAGGCTTCTGGCGGTCCCTCCGCTGCTGCCTGAAGGAAAAGTTGCCTGATCAGTGCCTATTGTAGGCATGGCCTTAGGCTAGGTTCTGGGGATACAGAGATAAGTATGACACAGTCTCTACTTTACACTTGTACAGTCTAACAAAGAGAAGATAAGTGATAAATAGGAATTAGATGAGATTTTAAAAATGTGTGGCATTGTGGGCTGGGATAATGCTGCCACTACTAACAGCCAACATTTATTGCTCACCCGCTGTCTTCTGGGTGTTTTATATCCAGGTTAACTCATTGACTCCTGACAACACCCTGTGGAGTAGGTATTGTTATAATCTGCATTTTCTAGGCAAAGAATCTGAGGCCCAGAGACATTACAAATAGCTTGCCCGAAGTGTCACGGTGGGGATTCAGGAGCAGGAACTCCAGCGCAGGTGGTCTGGCTCTGGAACAGGTGCTCTCAGGTAACATGGCCTCTTGTAAGTCATCCGGAGAGTGTGCGGGAGCTCTGCCGCTGCGCATCTGCGTGACTTGGTACCGCTGGGCTGCCCTCGTGCTGGGGACACTCTTCCTTAAAGACGCTGGCCATGGAGGGAGGCTCCTGTGACATCTTCTCTGACTCTCGCCTTCCCTGGGGCAGTCACTGTGCTTGGAGCTTGAGCAGCACTTTGTGCTTATTTTGTTTAACTACATAGTCTTCTATTTGTTGGAATATCTGACTCCTTTTGTCAGAAGCTTCTGGAGAGCAAGGACTTTTTCATTTTCTGGAAAATGTCAAATATGTGCAAAAGGTAAGTTAATGATATAATGAATCAGCATATACTCATCCCGCAGCTTCAGCGATTATTTCCTGGCCAATCTTGTTTCATCTCTACCCTCCTTTCCAAACCTGCAGTATTTTGAAGCAAATCCTAGGCATCAAATCATTTCATCTGTAAATATTTAAGTTGCATTACTAAAAATATCAGGGATCTTTAAAAAACATAGCCATATTAACGTTATCACACTAAAAATTAACACTTCCTCGATATGATAAAATATTTGATGTTTAAACTTCTGCAATTATCTCATAATTTTTCCCTTCCTGTTTTTCTTTATTCCTCTATTTCTTCTTTTTCTCCCCCTCCCCCCATTTTTTTTTTTTTGCAGAGGAAGATTCACCCTGGGCTAACAGGGTGAATTACCAATCTTCCTCTTGTTGTATGTGGGCTGCCACCACAGTATGGCCACTAAGAAGTGGTATAGGTCCATGCTTGGGAACCCAACCCAGGCTGCCAATGTGGAGCAAGCCAAAATTAACCACTAAACAACCGGAGCTGGCCCTCTCCTCCACAGTTGTTTTTTTTTTTTTTTTTTTTTTTTACAGTTGAGTTGTTTGAATAAAGATCCAAAGAAGGGCTTTACTTTTTAATCAGCATGTTCTCCTCAGCTCCTGGCTTAATGATTGACATACAGTAAATCCTCAAATGTACGTTGAATGAATGACTCATCATGAATCTATAAAATCTCATGGCTGGATTAGTGTTGCCTTCCTGTCATTTGTGCTTGGTTTCTTCAGATGGCTTTGGGTTTCCTATAACTTTAGTTAAGGATTAACTGAGGTGCTAGCTACCATCAGTGCCTGTGAACCTTACTAAAGGTTTGAAGGAAGTGAGTGAATATGGCTCAGACAGTCACAGGCTAGAAGGACGTGAGCCCTTGCTTTCTTGTCTCTTGTTTTGTCCTTAGCCCTTGTTATCTCACTTGGAGTTTGGACTGACAATATTTGCCTTTTTTGCTATTTCTTCAGAACAGGGATGATGAAGGAGTTCCTTGACAGCATGAACAACTTTCATATGGTGCTGTGGCAGACAGAATTCTAAGATGGTGCCCCAGATCTTACCTCTAATCCCAGACTGTGAATATGATGAGATACCATGCCTGTGATCATGTTACGTTATGTGGTAAAAGGGATTTTGCATATGTCGCTAGGGTTACAAAGCAATTGACTTTGAGTTCATAAAAAAAGAGATTATCTGAGTGGGATTAATCCAATCACACAAACCCCTAAAAAGTAGATAGTTTTTTTCCATTTGGTTTCAGAAGAGAATTCTGAGAGATTAGGACCGTGAGAGGGATTTGGTTTAAGGGATGTTCTCCATTGCTGAGATGGAGGGAACCTTGTGGCTGGGACCTGAGAACATCTTGCAGTAGCAGAGATTGGTCCCTAGCGGGACACTGGGGACCTCAGTTTTATGACTTCAAGGAACTGAATTCTCTGAGCTGGTAATTGGCTGTTGTTTTAAGCCACTAAACTTGTGGTAGTTTGATTTACAAAAATAGAAAATACAGGTCCTTTGTACCTGATAGATTGAATTAGTTGTTCCTTTGCGTATTTTATTTTTAAAAATGGAGAGAAAATTAAAACACATTGAAATGCATACAGATCTTGAGTGTACAATTTGTTTCTTGGTAAATGTGTACACCAAATCACTACCTGCATAGACATGTAGAACATTTCCGTCAGCCCCAAAAGCTCCCTTGTGCACCATTGCAGTTAATTCCACCCCCGATAGGAAGTTCTAACACTATTAATTACTATTGCCTATGCTTGAACTTCATTTAAATGGCATTATATCATCATATCCTAAATGTTGCTTTGTGTCTGGCTTCTATTGCACAGCATGATGTTTTGGAGAGTGATCCATCTTATTTTAGCTGTAGTTTGTGCCTTTTTTTTTTTTTTATTACTGATTAGTATTCCATTGTATGGATATACCACAATCTATTTATCCATTCACATGTTGAGGAATATTTGAGTTGTTCCCCCTTTTTGGCTACTGTGAATAATGCTGCTATGAACATTTCTCTATTATTCTTTATGTGGATATCTGTTTTCATTTCTCTTGGGTAAATACCTAAGGTGGGATCACTGCAATGTATAAACTTTATCTGAAAATGCCAAACTCTTTTCCAGAGTAGTTGTGCCAGTTTATATTTCCACCAGAGATGTATAAGAATCCCACTTGTTTCCCATTCTCACAACACTTGGTATTTTACAGTTTAGCTATTTGCCAATAATTTCTTTTTGAGTACTTCTGTGTGCCTTGCAGAATAGAGTTTTCATCTCATGCCCATCTCTTGGAATGTTCTCCCAACTTCCCAGTTTTTCATTCCACCCTGTTTTGGGTCAGTGTTTCCTAACATAAAATATATATGAGAATCACCTGGGAGTTTTCCAAAATATGCAAGCCCAAGTCTCACTCCAGACATACTGTATCAGCTTCTTCTGGAATGGTTTATAGGCTTATCATGTATGTTCAAAAAGCTTTCTAGGTAATTCTGATTCATAATTCTGGGTAAAAACCACTGCTTTTTGGCTCAAGTTCTACCTTTTACAGTAGAAGTTCTCCATCCTGGCTATGCATTAAAAGTATCTGGGAAGGAACATTCTTCACAGAAATTGAACAAAGAATCCTAAAATTCATATGGGGCAACAAAAGACCGCGAATTGCTAAAGCAATCCTGAGCAAGAAAAACAAAGCCGGTGGAATCACAATCCCCGATTTCAAAACATACTACAAAGCTACAGTAATCAAAACAGCATGGTACTGGTACAAAAACAGGTCCACAGATCAATGGAACAGAATTGAAAGCCTGGAGATAAAACCACACATCTATGGACAGCTAATCTTCGACAAAGGAGCAGAGGGCCTACAATGGAGAAAAGAAAGTCTCTTCAACAAATGGTGCTGGGAAAACTGGACAGCCACATGCAAAAGATTGAAAATTGACCATTCTTTTTCACCACACACCAAAATAAACTCAAAATGGATCAAAGACCTAAAGATTAGGCCTGAAACAATAAGTCTTCTAGAAGAGAATATAGGCAGTACACTCTTTGACATCAGTTTCAAAAGAATCTTTTCGGACACTATAACTCCTCAGTTGAGGGAAACAATAGAACGAATAAACAAATGGGACTTCATCAGACTAAAGAGCTTCTTCAAGGCAAGGGAAAACAGGATTGAAACAAAAAAACAGCTCACTAATTGGGAAAAAATATTTACAAGCCACTTATCTGACAAAGGGTTAATCTCCATAATATACAAAGAACTCACACGGCTTAACAACAAAAAAACAAACAACCCGATCAAAAAATGGGCAGAGGACATGAACAGACATTTCTCAAAAGAAGATATAAATATGGCCAATAGACACATGAAAAGATGTTCATCATCGCTAATCATCAGCAAAATGCAAATCAAAACTACACTAAGATGTCACCTTACACCCGTTAGATTGGCAAAAACATCCAAAACCAAGAGCGACAAATGTTGGAGAGGTTGTGGAGAAAAAAGAACCCTCATACACTGTTGGTGGGAGTGCAAACTGGTACAGCCACTATGGAAAACAGTATGGAGATTTCTCAAAAAGTTAAAAATAGAAATACCCTATGACCCAGCCATCCCATTACTGGGTATCTATCCTAAGAACCTGAAATCAGCAATCCCAAGAGTCCCTTGCACCCCTATGTTCATCGCAGCATTATTTACAATAGCCAAGACGTGGAACCAACCTACATGCCCAGAAACTGATGATTGGATAAAGAAGATATGGTATATATACACAATGGAATACTACTCAGCCATATAAAAAGACAAAATTGGCCCATTCGCAGCAACGTGGATGGACCTCGAGGGTATTATGTTAAGCGAAATAAGCCAGTCAGAGAAAGACGAACTCTATATGACTCCACTCATAGGTGGAAGTTAACATATTGACAAGGAGATCTGATCGGTGGTTACCAGGGAAAAGGGGGGTTGGGGGGAGGGCACAAAGGGGGAAGTGGTGTACCCACAACATGACTAACAATAATGTACAACTGAAACCTCACAAGGTTGTAATCTATCATAACATTAATAAAAAAAAAAAGTATCTGGGAAGCTTAAAAAAATTACCATTGCCTGGGTTCTAACCCACACCAATTATATCATGATCTGTGGGTGGTGCCTGAGTATTGCTTTAAAATTTTCCCAGTCATTATAACCTGTAGCCATATTTCCCATTGAATTTCTCTGCCTTCTCTTGTGGCATTTATCCCTTTCTATCTTTGTATTATAATAACTTTTCATGTCGTATCTCCTGTCTTAGGCTTTATGGTCCCTGGGATAAGCACCCTGTCTTTCTCATTTCTGTCTTTTTCATGGTGTCTAACACTGAGACTCGAAGCACAGTAGATCCTGAACAGGATTTCATGAAAACTGGAACTTGTCATCAGGAAAAGATTCTCAATCACAGGCAGGTTGTGTCCTGAATCTCAGGTTCACGTATTAGTGCTACAGGGTCCTCATCCTCCCTGGGGTCAGAATTGTTGCTTATGATGACCATCTGTGAGAGAACAGGGAAAACATTACCCTGTTCAGTTTGTTCTCAGTCATATCATCTCAGGCACAATTATGTGTATGTGGGGTGGAGGGGCAGGGATGGATAAGGAGACAGATCTAATTAGAATGGAGGAATTATACTACAGAGCAGCAGTAAAGAAAGTAAGAAATGTTAGTAAAGAGGAAGAAAGGTGACAGACATTATGTGGTTGGTCAGGGTAGGCCACTGTGGATTCTGAGTAGGAGAGTGAACCAGTTTTTAAGAAGGTAATGAGGCAGCGGTATGCAAGGAAGATTTCAATAGAGAGTCCAGAGACAAGAAGTCAAGCTGTACTTCCAGCAGCAGAGTTGTTGAGAGCCTGGGTTATTTAGGTTAATGGGAATGGAGAGAATGATGCAACTGAGAGATGTTAAAAAAGGATCAACAGGCTTTGATGATGTATTGAATCTGAGAAACAAAATAGCATGGGCTGAAGGTATTTGGACGTGATTTTCATGAGTTCTGGGAAGTAGCAGTGTCTAGAGATAGAGATGTAGGAGGCACCTGCAGAGAGGTCCTTGAACTGTGCAAAGAGGGTGGTGGAGGGAGACAAGCAGAGTCTGAGAACTAAATCTGGTGTGGGGGTGCAGTGCGTCGGTGGGGATGGGAGGAGGAGAGCGTCCAAGAAGGAAAAAGTTATCTGTGGCCTTAGATGTTGTTAAAGTGAACAATGTGAGGACAGTGAAAATACCTTTGAATTTGGTGAAGAGATGGATACTGATTTTATGCTGCTTCCAGCGGTCTTGGGTCTGGAGGCGCTAATGCAGAGGCCCCAGAGTAATGAGATGATAAGTAAGTGGAAAGAAAACATGTTTCAATTGCTTAGAAGTGATGGAAATGAGATAATTGGTTAACACTTAGTGGAATTAATAAATGACCGTTATTCAGAGCAGAAGAGATCTGACCCTCTGAGGGGGTAGAACAAAGGAACGGGGATGAGGAAGATAGAAGGTGCTGGAGAGATTTTTATATGACTGAACCTGTGGAGGCTCTTGTGAGGGAAAGCTGTATTGCTGCATCTGATTCACTGGAGCCCCGTGTGTGGGAATGTTCTTTGTCCCTAAGAAAGAGGCTGGGAGATCTTTTACTCATGAAATCATCTTCTTTCTGGGACCAAGAAAAGCATTTTCCTCCAGGAAGTTTGGACCTGTGGCCTGTTGGTTCTATATAGACACACTTCATTAGGAGGTGTGCAAATGAATGTAGCTAATTCTCTGATCACTAGATCAAATATCTGTAGACTTAGAAAGAGACTTACTCTGATGCCCAGTTAAGCAAGTTCTCTTTCTTCTGCCTGTAAAGAAGACATTGTCTAAAGTGGTACTGACAAATGAAGCAGCACGTTGACGTCTGATATATACTTTTTATTATAAATATAGAGCACATTTTACAAATAATTCAGAAGTAGCTGTAGCCAGGCAAAATAAAATAACAGAATAGTGTGGATGAGGAGAAGTCCATACAGTGTGTGTCAGGGTTAGAAAACCCTGAAAGAGGTACCTGAGTACAGAGAACTCCCAACTAACCTTCTTTGAGGAGTCTCTTAGACACAGCATGAGATCAAGTAATCAGTATCAAATAAAACCTTTCTCTCAACAGCCCCAAAGAGATTCCATCTGTGTAGAAGGAGGCTGGGTGGGAAGTGCATTTGCCTCTCTTTCTCCTTCCCTTCCTTTTGTCCTAAGACACATTGGGACTCATACACCCCATGGGAGAAAACAAATTTCAGAGGCTGTTCGAGAAGCTGAGGGCCCAGTGGTAATATTCCCTTGTGTCCTAAAGGGCATCAGCACCAGTGAAGCTTTCTAGGTTTCAAACAATGCCAATGGCATGAGTGGTGCTGTTCCCTTCAAGGTTCTCCCACTTCTAGAGGACCAAATGCACCTTAGCAGGGGCCAAGGTTTCCTGAGACAGCAAGTGGGGCAGACAGACAGAACATGAACAGGCAGATACATTGGGTACAATGGTGACTGGTGATTGGCCTGAGATGCCTGGAAACTGAGTTAGATACATTTCTAGCCGCGAATGAGGAAAACGGCTTCTTTTTCTTTTCTGTTTGGAGCCTCTGAGACAAAAGCCTTGAGGAGCTCCTGGCCAAGTGATCTTGATAAGTTTTGGTGACTTCTTTTATCTAAAGCAATCAGATTGACTTACACAGCTAAGCTAAGTAAAAATAACCCCTCTCACATAAATAAGCAGTTACAAAAAATAAAATGGCAGAATATCTCAGAGAAAAAGGAAAAAACCCAATATCCAACATTGAGCATTCTTTAACAATCATTTAAATAATCTCTGAAGGGTAGCTCTCTATTCCTTTCCCAAATTCCCAGCAGGTTGTCTCTGTGAACAGCTGACTCCTCCCTAAATCCATAACCCTCCTTCTGTGGGCATTGACTTGAATAAAGACCATGAAGTGATTAAAACCTGCATTTTTTTTTTTCGTATTTTCCATTAGGACTCACCTATGGACCTTGGAAAACAGTTTTCCTAGTTGCTTCTAGTGGGTTCTCTGAAGACAGGCTTGCCAAGGAGCTTAGGTGGTATTCTAGCTAAGCAGCAAGGTGTTTAGGCCTCATCCGATAGGTGGACAACCCCGACAGTGGACAAATGTGTAGAATTTCCCAGTCCAGAATTGGTTACATATTTCTTTTCCTGTGTCTGATGTATTCACCCTGGGCTTGGAGAGATGGGAGAAGCTTTTACTTTTACTTTTTGTTTATTCTTTTCTGGCACATGCATTTCAGTGGATAAGGACATAATTCTCAAGGTTATTGGCAAATTCAAGACTCCTATATGGCCAGACTGCAGTGGGAAGAAATGAGTGTGCTCTGAATAGGTAAATTTAAAGCAAGTCTAGGTCAGGAGAGGGGGAGGAGTGGGAGGTTCTGGCAACTCTCTTCGAAAGTCTGCTTTGCCAAATTTCAAAGACTAGGAAGGTTGGGTTTCCTACAGACTCCCGGATGCACCTTTTCATTTATTGACACTGAAGGGAGGGGCTGTGACCAGGCAGCCTGGAGGCTCCTCATTTGGAAGTTAAACGGAGTGGGGAGGAATGGGTGGGCTTCTTCCCCTTTTCCCTGAGGGTAAAGGGATCCTTCCAGTGATGAGAATGAGAAGCTTGGAGTAAGTCAGCAGTGCAGCGAACAGGGCAGGTTGCAGTACTTCTGTTTCATGTCTGAATAAACTGTTTCCATGGCTGATGGGGTGGGAAGGCTGAAGTTGGTTTCCTTGATTCCTGGACATTGAAGTTCAGGGAAGAAAATGCAACTGCATCCATCTGAAAGGCATGAACAGTGGTCAGTTAAATCAGTGTCATAGGTCAGGCCCTCACCTGGTCTAGTGTGATTCAGCACCACGTGCTATCACCACTTTGAAACTTTTAGCTTTGGAGAAGGGCTTTTATCACTCATTATCTCTGCTTGCTAACATCCTGTGAATGATCATTGAAAGAGACAGATTATGATGTTGGTACAATGGAATATGATGACATAACAATGAGAGTGAACACACTACAAATGCATACAATGTTATGGATGAATCTCACTAAACAACTTTGAATGAAAGAAGCCAGACACATATAAGGATATGCTGTGTCTTTCATTTATGTAAAAGCATAAACAGGCAAAACTAATCTAGTGCATTGGAAGGCAGGATAGTGGTTTTCTCTATGGAGGGAAGTAACTGGAGGGGTTTTTGTCGGGGGACGACATGTTTTGTGTCTTGATTTGGGTGCTGCTTACATGGGTATGTTCAACTTGTGAAAATTCATACACTGTTAAAATATACTTATGATTTAAGCACTTTTCATTATATATGCATATGCTATTGAAAGGTTAAGATGAGAAAAATTTAGTAAAATTATTATAAGGAAATAAGACCACAGACCCACTGGAATGGAAATTATCCTTTGACAGTACAGGCAGAGTCAGCCTGAAGGTAGAGGAGGGAGAATGATTGAGGCCTTCCTTGTGTTGGGCACTGTGCTGGGTGCTACACATTTGTATCTCATTGAATTCCTTCAGCTTCTCTTTGAAGTAGAGAGCATATCCATTTTACAGATGACACAGCTGAGGATCAGAAAAGTTAAGCTACTTGTCCAAGGTCACAGAGCTATGAAGAGTCTGAGCCAGGATTCAAACACAGGGTGGGGATAATTAGCTATCAGGGAAATGCAAATCAAAACTACAATGAGGTATCACTTCACTCCGGTCAGAATGGCTATAATTAACAAGACAGGAAACAACAAATTTTGGAGAGGATGTGGAGAGAAGAGAACCCTTGTACACTGCTGGTGGGAATGCAAACTGATGCAGCCACTATGGAAAGCAGTATGGAGTATCCTCAGAAAATTAAGGATAGATCTACCCTATGATCCAGCTATCCCACTGCTGGGTATTTATCCAAAGAACTTGAAAACAAAAAAGGCATAAAGATACTTACACCGCTATGTTCATTGCAGCATTATACACAATAGCCAAGACTTGGAAGCAACCTAGGTGCCCATCAAGGGACGAATGGATAAAGAAGATGTGGTATATATACACAATGGACTACTACTCAGCCATAAGAAATGATGAAATCCGGCCATTTGTGACAACATGAATGGACCTTGAGGGTATTATGATGAGTGAAATAAGTCAGAGGGAGAAAGTCAAATACCATATGATCTCACTCATAAGTAGAGAATAAAAACAACAACAAACAAACACGTAGCATTGGAGATTGGATTGTTGGTTACCACAGGGGAAGGGGGGAGGAGGGAGGGCAAAAGGGGTGATTAAGCTCACATGTGAGGGGATGGACTATAATTAGTTGTCGGGTGGTGAATGTGATGTAATCTACACAGAATTCAAAATATACTACGATGTACATCCGGAAAAAAAATTCTAAACATGTAAAAAAAAAAAAAAGCTGTGTCATGAGACGGGGGGAAAGAAAAACAGTCCACATGCTTTCAATGAGGTAGACTCATGGGAGTCATTACCAACCCTTCTTTGTTTGCTGCTGCATTGAAGAACTTTGACCCAAACCTTGTCTCACATTGGTGTCTTCAAGAATAACCCATTCTATACTGAGATATTTCCATGAGAAACTGAGCCAGTGAAACTGGCTGTGCTTACCTTGTTAGGGGAGTTGTCAGAGTGGCCCTGACCTGGGGAAGCAAAAGAAGAGTTACCCATGGAAATGCAAAGCTGGCTTATGGCCTTAGAATGAGGGTGTTCCTAAGCTGTTGTGATTTCTAGCTGAAGGAGGAGACATGTGCCAGGTGGTGGGAGGGTGGATTTGGGGGTAGCCCATGATCACTTAAGGAATTGGCTTCCCTCAGAGTGTGTGGCCTAGAAGCAGGGCATTAGTACCAGAGGAGGGGCAGGAGTAGCGAGAGAGGAGGCCTCAATCCACTTCTGAAGACTTTTTCCCTGTCATAAGACCTTGATTTTTTTCCCTGATATGTTTCTCAGCCACAGGCTTCAGTGGCAAGGAGGGGCATTGAGGCCCACAGCATCCAGAGCATCACAAGAAAGGGCGAGTCCCATAAAGGAGAACGTCTACATCTATAAAGAGGCAGGAGGATGAAGGAGATAGATGAGGAAATGGCTCCTGGAAACAAGTCCCTCTTACTCAGGCCTGCCTGGCCTAGGTAGAGTGAGCATCTCTCCAGGGGCTGTGTCTCAGGGGAACCTTTTGTGGCTAGGAAGGGTGTGAGGACCTATGCCAACTTAAGGTTGGAAGGTGGAGATCCCATGTAAAAATTCCCATGGTAGGGAGTAGTTTGGGAATCTAGGATTCCCTGCTAGGGTGGGGCAGGTGGTAGAACATAGCAGCTCTCACTAGGCAAGTGGTTTTACATATTGTGGTTGGAGGCTGAAGGTTTGTGCTCTGTGAGATCGTGCTGGTCACTTGCCCTAAATAAATATCAGACACTGTGACTGCTACTCTCGAGCATTGGCTCTTTGTTCCCTGAATGAGGAAGGACACTGTAGGCAGTCCTTACAATGTAACGTAAGGAGTCCTCAGGACTCCTCAGTGTTCATTTATATCGCAGTAGGCATTGCCTTTCCTCTCAAGTCCTCCTTCATCAGTCTACCCACGATTCCTTCCAGTATTTACTCCTTTCCTGTTTGTTGGATGTGCACATTTAAGTCCACTCTTTGTCAACTACCTCAGAGCCTACTTCTACCCCGACACCTTTCCTCAGTCATAGCTAGATGGTGTTTTTTCTCACTTTATTTATTGCCCAGGAGGTCTTTGGTTGTTTCTGCTTTTCTAGAGTTCTCGTCCTGTCTTATCCTTCCTTCCTTCCTGCTGCTATGGTCCCTGGAGCACAGGACTCCCTTTCTCCTGCCCCTCCTTTAATTTCCTCCTTTGTTTTCCTTCTTGGACCTTGGCTTCCCTGACTGGGAGCAGAGGAACATAAGTGGATCTGCCCCCTCCAAACCAGATGGAGATGGGAATACTCATGCCCAACCAACAGTGAGGTATAGGAAGCATGAAGACCAGGGAAGAAGATTCCCACAGGAATTAGTGCCAAAGAGCAGAGGTTTAGGAAGGAAGAGGAGCAGATTAAGTCCCAAAGACAGAGTTGAAGTCTCCTTCCCTCTCCCAAGCATGGCGGTTCACCCTGAAGAAAGCAAAATACTAAGAACAGCCAACATACCCTCAAATCTTTCAGATATAAAGAAAGTGAAGCGGAGCTGCCAGAGTTACCCCAGCCAGGACTCCAACCACGATGCTGTCAATGACCCCAGCCGAGAGGCCAGCAGAATTTCCTGGTGTTGGAGCATCTGTCATGGAAAGAAAAGAGAAGAATAAGTGAAGGTGACATTATATTACAGTGGAGTTACCCTGGGAAACAATTCTACACATGGGTTAGTCTCTACTTGTTCCTTCAAGGGATAAATTTTCTGTGGGAAGGTTGCTGTGAGGTGATTAGCCAACTATGTCCTTGAGGATCTTTTCTGTCACTGTATTTCTAAGTTGGTGGTCAGACTTGCCTCAATTCCATCCTGGTCTTTCTGCACTCAGATATTTTTGAAAACCCTGGAAATGTGAGAAAGGCTGATGACTCTTTTTGTGTGTTATAACTTTCCACCTTTTCATGGTTGCATCTTTTTCTGTGTACCAGCTGTGGCAGCCATGAATATGTGCCTCTCAGGTCTCTTGTAGTGGCGACTTAATTGACAGACGGCCTGGGCTAGTGCACTCTGAATTCACCATCTCCATTCACCCTCACCATTCAATGCACAAGACCATGCTTCCCACAGTTTGCCAGCAGGAATATGAAAGAAATCCCAATTCTGTGAGAAATAACTTTTCTTTGATTGGTGACTAGTTCAAGGACTGCTTCTAAGCCTTGTAGACACCCTCTTAGAACTGCACTGCTAGCAAAAGCTTCCTTCCATCTCTTTCTCCTTCACAGGGATCAGATCTGTGTCATGATCTGAGGAATCTCCCAGGCTCCTTCCACTCCTGCCCCACTTTTCTTCGCAGGCATTTTCTCCAATAAATATCTTGTATGTCTAATATCATCTTGGATGCATCTCAAAATGAAAACTAACATACCAGACATGAAACTGCACTCAACTCCTTTTTCTATCTCCTATATTTAGTAGTCATGAACTATGTCCCAGAGGGATTTTTGTGTTGTACCTTCCCCACCCCTCAAGATATATTTCCTTTTGCATGTATTTCTTCTTTTCTGTTTCTGTTGCCCTCACAACTCAACTCAAGACTGATGATTAACGCTAGTGTTAGCAATTATTATGAGGTACTTACTATGTGCCAGGCAATATGCTATATAATTTATATGTATATATCTCATTTAACTCATATAATAACCCTGTCAGATAGACATAATTTCCATTTTACAGATGAAAAAACTGAGTCTTACAGTGGTAGAAAAACTTATCCAAAGTCATATCTAGTAAAAGGTGGATCTAGAGTCAGGTAGTGCTTGACCTTAGGGCTTCCTAATTTCATAGAGGCAAATGGCAATTGTAGTAATAATAGCAGCTAACACTTATGGAACATTTCCTCTGTGTGTGGTACTTTGCTAGAGATTATTACACTAAATCTTTAAAATAATACCATGAAGCAGATACAGTCATCCCTCAGTATCCATGGTGGATTGATTCCACGACCTTCTGCCAATGCCAGAATCTGCAAATGTTCATGTCCCTTACATAAAATGGCATAGTATTTGCATATAATATTCACACATCTTTAAATCATCTCTAGATCACTTATAATAGCTAATACAATGTAAATTCTATGTAAATAGTTGCTATACTGTATTGTTTAGGGAATGATGACAAGAAATAAAAGTCTGCACTTGTTCAGTATAGACACAACCATAGTAGGCCTTTGGATCTGCAGTCAGTTAAATCATAGATGTGGAACCTGCAGATACGGAAGGTGGACTGTACTCTTATTGCAATTTTCAGTAGAGCACTGAGGCTTAGAAAAGTTAATAATCTTGTGCAAGAAATTTATAATTGTAAATGCTTACGTTAAAAAAGAAGAAAGATCTCAAATCAACAAGCTAACTTTACAACTCAAGGAACTAGAAAAGAAGAACAAGCTAAACCCAAGCTAGAAAAAAGAAGGAAATGATAAAGATTAGAGTGGAGATAAATGAAGTAGAAAATGGAAAAGCAATAGAGAAAATCAAATAAACTAAAAGCTGTTTTTTAAAAAAAGATCAACAGAATTGACAAACCTGTAACTAGATTTACTAAGAAAAAAAAGAGAGAAGATTCAGAGTTCTAAAATCAGGAATGAAAGTAGGGCTATTACTACCAATGCTACAGAAAAATAAGAATTTTAAGAGTACTATGAATAATTGTATGCCAACACATTCGATAACCTAGAGAAATGGACAAATTCCTAGAAACATAAAACCTACAAAGATGGAATCCTAAAGAAATAGAAATATGAATAGACATATAATTAGTAAGGAGATTGAATCAGTGAAAGCATTTGACAAAATCAACGTTCTTTCATGATAAAAACACTCACACTAGGAATAGAAGGAAACTAAGTCAACATAATATAAGCCGTATATAAAAAGCCCACAGCTAACATCATATTCAATGGTGAAAAACTTAAATTTTTGCTCTAAGATCAGGAACAAGTCATGGATGCCTGCTTTTTCCACTTCTATTCAAAATAGTGTTGGAAGTCTTAGCCAAAAATTAGGCAAGAATGAGATAAAAGACATCCAAATTGGAAAGGAAATAAAATTATCTCTGTTTGCAGATGATATGAGTTTATATGTACAAACTCTAAAGATCCCACAAAAAACTTTTGGAACTAACAAACAAATTCAGCCAAGCTGCAGGATACTACATCAATACGTAAATATCAATATGTAAATGCATGTGAACGATGAACAATTTGAAAAGGAAACTAAGAGAATTTTATTTGCAATAGCATCAAAAAGAATAAATACCTAGGAATTAACTCACCACTGAAAAACTACAAAAACACTGCTGAAAGCAATTAAAGAAGACATAAATAAATGGAAAAGCATTCCGTCTTCATGGACTGGAAGACAATATTGTTAAGATGACAATACTACCCAAAGTGATCTACACATTTAATGTGCTTCCTATAGAAATCACAATGACCTTTATTTTTTGTGGAAATAGAAAAATCCATCCTAAAATTCATATGGAATTTCTAGAGCCCCCAAATAGCCAAAACAATCTGGAAAAAAAAGAACAAGTTGAAGGACTAACACTTCCTGATGTCAAAAGTTACTACAAAGCTATAGTAATCAAAACAGTGTGTTACTAGCATAAAGATGGATATAAAGACCAATGGAATAGAAAACCTAGACAGAAACCCTCGCAAATGTGGTCATTTGATTTTTGACAAGAGTATGAATACCATTCAAAGGGGAAAAGACAGTCTTTAAAGCAAATGGTATTAGGAAAATTGTATATCCATGCAAAAGAATGAAGTTGAACCCTTATCTAACACCATATAAGAAAATTAACTTACAGTGGATCAAAGACCTAAATGAAAGAGCTGAAACAGTAAAACTCTTAGAAGAAAACATAGGGTGAATGCTTCATGACATTCAATTTGACAATGATTTCTTGGATAAGAAACCAAAAGCATAGGCAACAAGGAAAAAATAGATAAATTGGACTTCATCAAAATTAAAAACTTCTGTGCATCAAAGAACATTTTCAACAGAGTGAAAAGACTACCCTTAGAATGGGAGAAATAATTGGCAAATTGTATATCTGACAAGGGATTAATATCCAAAATATATAAAGAATAATCATAACTCAACAAAAAAACAATTTAAAAATGGGTAGAGGAAGTGAATATAAAATTCTCCAAAGAAGATATGTAAGTGATCAATAAGCACATGAAAAGATGCTCCACATCCTTAATCATTAGGGAAACACAAGTCAAAACCAGAATGAGATACCACCTCACACTCCATAAGATCGGTATTATTTAAAAATCCCAAAAACAAAGCAACAAGTTTTGGCAAGGAGGTGGAAAAATGAACTTCTGTGCATTGCTGATAGGAATGTAAAATGGTGAAGCCACTGTGGAAAATGATATGGTCGTTCATCAAAAAATTGAACACAGGATTGCCATTTGATCCAACAATTCCACTTCTGGGAATATACACCAAAGAGCTGAAAGCAGAGATTTGAGCAGATATGTATATACCTAAGTTTATAGCAGCGTTATTCACAAACAACCAGAAGGTATAAACAACCCAGAAGTTCAGAGATAGATGAATGATAAACAAAATCTGACATATACATAGAAAAGAATATTATTTAGCCTTAAAAAGGAACTCTGATATATGCTACAACATGAGTGGAACCTTGAAGACATTTGTGTGAAGTGAAATAAGCCAGACAAAAAAGGGAAAATATTGTCTGATTCTACTTATACGAGGTACCTAGAAGAGTCCAATTCATAGAGACGGAAAGTAGAATGGTGGTTACCAGGAGTTAAAGGTAGGGAATGAGGAGTTATTGTTTGTTGGGTGCAGAGTTTTAGTACGGTGAGATTAAAATCTTTGGAAATGGATAGTGGTGATGGTTGCACAACAACATGATTGTACAAATACCACTGAAGTGTACACTTAAAAATGATTAAAATGTTAAATTTTATGTTTATTTTACGACTTTAAAAAGTGGTAACAGGAAAAAAAAAAGAATCTAGTGCAAGGTCACACAGTAAATGGCAGACCCGGGATAAGAAACAGCGTATTTGATTTAGAGACTGAGATCTCACCCACTTTGCCATTCTGTTTACTGTAGTGGTTTCTTGGTTGATATTGTGCCCCCTGTGACTTCTATCCATTTTGGACAATGTTGATAGAGTCATCCATCCTCCCAGGAAGATGTAGGATGGGGAAAGTGGTCACTTACATTTCACATACAGCCTGAGGATGTCGCTTTTGCTGGAACTGACTAAATTGGAGACCTCACACTGATAATCCCCAGCATCATCCCTCTTGACTGGGTCTATGGTGAGGGTGCTGTTGTCCTGGGACAGCTTCATCCTCTCTGTGAGCCCTAGATGCTGGTTATTGAAGAACCACTGGGTGGAGATTCCAGTGTCACTTGTGAGGCAGGTCAGGACCACAGCATCCTTCTGTTCTGTGACTGTGGTGTTGCTGGCTCGGATGGAGGGCTGTGCCACTGGCTCTGGAGAAACAGAAGAGGTGACTGACTGAGAGTGGACCTGTGGCCATGCTCCTTTCTCAGAGATTTCAGCCACTCACAAGTCCCAGTGATCTGTGTAGAAGTGACCAGGAGGAAGGCACTGAGGCCCCACGGAATGGTAAGTGTCTTTGTTCAGATTTTGATCTGTAAGGAGAGGGCTGCACCTACACTTTGATCCCCAGCTTACCCCAGGATGACCCTAGACGGGTTCCTCGTGACATCTCCATAGTATCAGCAACAGAAACCTTTTTTCAGACCACATGTCCAGAATCCTTAATCATCAGGTGAAATTTTCCTCCCATTGGCTTTTGTGTGACCCTTTGCTAGAGCTTTCTGTGAATATGAATGATCAGGCCCCCTCTCTAGTACATTAGGTTTACATAGAGAAGGGAAAGTGTTTCCTTTCGGTTAAACAATTTGTTAGAGAATGAGCATGGCACAGCCAGTCTTCATGCCCTTAGGACCTGGAGAAGTTCCATTCTAAAGGATTTCTCAATCTGAATAGGACCTTTACTTCCTGGCTTGTGGATTGAATATCACAGAGAACGAAATCTCTGGAGAGAAGTGGTCACAGTTTTAATAAAAGACTGGTACTCTTAGCCCTCTCTGTAAACTATAAACTTTTTGGCATTTTCTCCTTCCATCCCATGAAGGGGATTCATGGATGAATCTACCCATTTTTCCAAGTGTGGACCGTCATTCCCTGTTCTCCTTTGGTATACATATGTGCTGGTGTCACAAGGCACTATACAGCTGTTGACTTCAGAAGCATGGCAAAGCTCAGAGGAGTCTGCACTGAGGTTCACTCTGTTTCCTGTAACTGGCTTGAGAAGGGCTCTGGTGTCAATGGGTGGCACAATTTGGCCAGATTGAGGACGGGCTGCCCATGTGCCTTCTCTCCATGTCCCTACCCCATCATAGGTGGTATCAGAGCAGTCAGTCATAAGGTGAGCCAGGAGCAGAAGGACCTTCTTCCTTCTCCCTCTGTGAAGCCCCCTCCACTGTATGTAGGGCTGACAGAACCCCCTCACCACATTCCAGGCTGGACCCACATCTGCCCTGGGAAATCAGAGAGCAAGGGGACAAAGGGTCTGCAGAGATGTAGGGGGAGGTTTCAGGCACAGATTTGGGATTTGCTTCTGTCCATGGACAGAGGATAGGAAACAACTTCTTCTGAACACCAGAGAGACTCCACCTCAGAGCCTGGTGCTGATGGTCCAGGGAGCCACTTACCAGAGACTGTGATGGTCTTGACTGTGGCCCTATTGAGGCCAGTGACAGAGTTATGGACGAGGCAGGTGTAGGATCCACTGTCATTCGCAGTGATGTTGGGGATAAAGAGCTCCTGTGTGGATTGCTGGGGCCTCCCGTTGATAAGCCAAGAATACTGTGCAGGTGGGTTAGAGGCCGCATGGCAGGAGAGGCTGAGGTTTGCCCCTTGCTGGTAATAGGAGTCTGCGGGGGAAATGGTGGGGGCATCCGGGCCATCTGGAGCAAACAGAATAAAGCAACTTGTGATGTAATCAGAGGGAAGGGGAAGCTTCTGGTCTGTACAAGGGCCACAGTATCCTTCTGAGCAGGGTCACAGCCTTGTTTTAAAAACTCCCAACCATGACCTCTCTGTGTTCACTCATCCTGAGTCTGAGACATTAACCTGTTTCTCCCATCACAAGTTGTTGACCCTGAGACTTTTACAGCAGAAGCAGCCTGTCCCCTCCTAGTCTTGGCTCAAGGCTGGGCGTGCCCAGATTTGCCGGATACAGGAAGCCATGGCCAGCCTGGTGTCCAGGGGTGAGGGTCTGTCTACTTGGACCTGTGAGGGATGGCTATGGCCTGGCCTCTGGTAGTGTGGATTTGGGCGGACAACCTGGGCTAGGTACTGACAGAAATTACTCACAGAGAATGTTGAGGTAGAATGGGTCACTGCGACGAGCACTCCCTGGGTTCCAGGTTTCACACTCATAGGGTCCAGTGTCATTCCTTGTGATGTTGAATAAAGTGAGAGTCCTGTTGTCCAAGGATAGCTTCAGCCAGGCGCTGTCCAGGAGGCTCTGATTGTTGATCAACCACCGGTAGGTGGTGTTCTGAGTCTCAGGTTCACATGTTAACACTACAGGGTCCTCATGCTCCACAGGGTTGGAGTTGTTGCATGTGATGTTGGGTTTGGTTAACTCCACTGCACAGATAACAGAGAGAATATTAACCTGTGTGGTACCTTTGATTCCTCCAAAGTCATCTTCAATCAGAGTTGGCATCTCTCACCTCTCAGCCAACCCAAGTCCTTAAAAAGAACAAGGCAGGTCTGTTTATCTTAAGACAAACGCATAAGGATCTGAGTGCTCAGAGAATACAAGGCCACCCACTCTATGTCTGGGAGAAAACACAGACTTTCCCAAGTCAAATATGCATCAGGATTGGTCATGGAAAGACACAGGACAGGGAGTCAGAGACCACCCTGCACTTTTCCCAGCTCTTCACTGACCAGCTGGCAGTCTAACTAAACTTGGGGTCCTCACCTGGAAATCTTAGGTGCTGAGGCCCTTTCTATTACACAGACCTACACTGCCCAGCCTAGATGTGTCTTCCCTGAGGCCTTGCTTTCCAGGGTTATCCTAGAGATGGGTAACGATGGGTCTTCCTATAGTTCTTAAACCGAGGGGGGGGACTGAGCAGCATAGACTGGAAATGTGTATTTGAGCAGAAGCACTGTACTGGGAGATCAGGGGCAAGCCCAGAGGTCAGTTCAGTACGTAGGCTGCAGCGCCATGAAGTGGGGCAGGTCTGCCCAGTTGTTCCATGGTGACTGGCATGAGACAGTGACTCCATAAAGGGCAGAAAAGAGTTAAGACTAGAAATGATGCGGAAAAGAGTCAGGGGAGGGGGCAGGCGGGAGCTGGGTGAGTTTGGCAGCAAAGCCATGTCCTGTGCCCTTGGTCTTTAAAGTCTTTTCTCCTGTTGCAGAGGGCAGTGAGGACCATGTTGACCTTTCCTGAAATCTAAGTGGATGTTTTAAAATGCAGAAGGAGTGACCAGTGGAAAGGGAGGGAAATCTAGTCCTCATGGATCATTTATAAACACAGTTATGAGACAAAAATCTGAGGAGAAGTTAAATTGTTTCTGTCTTGAAAATTAATATTAATGCCCCAAAGATCTAAGACCAGTTTCTGGAGGAATATCTCTCTAGAGAGCACTAAAGATCATAGACCAAATTCTGCAATCCAACCAGGATCACATTATGATCAAAGGAAGATGCTAAAGCGGGTTTGAAATCAGTGGCTCCCTGGGTAGAGAGAGACACATGAGTCTTGCTTTGAGGACAGAATTGATCAGGAGGCAAGTCTGAGGTGTCTCCGTTATCCAAAGGGAGGAATGCTACCAAATTAGTCAAAACCATATGTCTTATGTTAGTAAATTTAGGAAAGTAGTCCCCATCACCAATTTATATGGACAATGAGGTAAAATGGGAAGAAGGCAAAATGCTTGCATTTGGCTTTCTTTTGAATTCAAGAAACACAAGCTTGGTAAAATTCACCCAAATTGGGCAGCATCTAAGTGAAAGGACAGTGCCTGGTGGATCTCACCATCTGAGAGCATCCCACCCTATAGCAATGGTGTCATCATGAAGGCCCATGTGTGTAAAATGGGCAGTAAACAAGTCAGACAGTGCAGGATCTGGTCAGCTCCGCCTTGGGAAAGTGTCAGGAACCACTGGAGGAATGGGATCCTCACTAGGATGAGGATGTGAATTAGGAGTCAAATGGATGAAATGAGCCTGTGAGCTTTGGGTGACTGTAGACCTGTCCTTCTGCCTATGACTCCTTGGTTGAGTCATGTAGAGAGTAGATCAAGGTGTCACACATCCCTGTCACATGGCATGCTCCACTTGTTGGCATTATGGAGGGAAAGAGCCCTGGATCGGGGCACAATGAAGGCTTATTCTCCTCATGACCTAGGGTACTGGCTCGTGATAGAGCATCAAGGGGCTGCTGTTCCCACTGATTTCTGTGTCCTTTACTATTGCCCAAGAGGGTGGGCCTGTCCACAGGTGTTAACAGGAGAATTTGGGGAAGGCTTAAGAGTAGAGGAAGCTGTGCAGAGCAGGTGTGGCCTCCACTAGAATGAAGGAGGAGGAAGATGAGGGACACATAAAGAGCTCAGAGGGCCAGAAATGTCCAGGGCTCTGAGCAGTGGGGGTTACAAGTGACTTCAAAGACCCTAGGTATAAAGACCCCACTCCTGCCCCAGGGGCAGAACCAGAACAGCCCCGAAAACCCTCCCATGCCTGAGCAGCCCCACAGTCATGAAACTCTCCTCTCAAAGTGGCCCTAGCACCTGGTAGTCAGAGGGATGGAACAGGGGTCTCAGCCCCTGGAGAGACAGGGAACGAGGATATCCATAACGTCCTAGGATTCTGCATCCAGCTTTCAGACTGTGAAGAGACTATAGGTCATTCATTCATTCATTCACCATTCATTCATTCCCTCCTTCATGAAAGATCAATTGAGTTGTTGGAACCTGTGCTGGTTGCAGGTGGAGAGTGGAGAGTGAGATAGCAAAGTCCTTTTCCTTACACTTCAGTGGAAGTGACACCAACACATCAAATAAGTGATATGAAGTCCAGCGCAGGGAGGTTGGATTGTGTCTCCCTGTGCCCCAGATTCCCTGAATAAAATCAGGTAAATGGTAAATGGTCTCAGGATTATCATATTGTCTGTGAACTAACCTTAAGACATCCCCAAATACCTGACCTAAAGCTTAGTATGGAGGAGCTGCCCAAATAAACAGTGTTCAAGAGAGAGAGCTCCCTGGGCCTGATTGCTGGTGGATAAGGAGCTGCCATGATCATCTTCTTTCCTCTGTTCCTCCCTGGGGATAGTGACCATACCCCCAGGGTAGTTAGCTAATGATCTGGGGACTTTGTCAATCTGTACTGTCCATGCCAAGTCTCAGGTGAAGGATCAGGATCTGCCCCTGCCCGAATGTGGCTCTTAGGGCTGAGCTCTGGCTGGTTGACTAGCTCAGGAGTCTCAGGATGTGGACAGCCAGGAAATCATTGCTCCCAGTCAGACCTGCCCAGGAGGCCAAAATTTAACCCTGGCACAGGCTCCCCAGGGTGACTGGAGTCAGGAGGCCTGGGGCCGGGATCTGGGCAGGGGCTTCCCAGGTTTGAGCTTCTCTGTGAGGATCCCAGGGGGTCGCACAGACCTGGCCCTGACCAAGCCCTGCAGGGTCTTCTTCAGGGTAGGGTTCATGAGGAAGAGCCCAGGAGGCTATCCTGCGACTGTTCTCCCTCTGCTGAGTTACTCCTTTCAGATTGGCCCTGCTCTCTGCAGGGAATGTCTGCAGGGGGCAGGATTCTGGAAGAGTCTTCTGATCTTTTGAAGTTTGTCTCCACTGTGTGTGCCCTGCACTAAATGCTCAAACCTCAACATGAGACATGATGCAGAGGAGGATGTAGGCACAGTGCAGGCTTGTCAATCCTGTGGGTGCGAAGTAGAATTCACCCCACCCAACACCCAGAGGTCAGAGAGGACTCACTTACGGTATACTTGCAGGTGTCCAAGTCCTACTTCAGTTTGGAAATTTGCCTTTATGACTTGTAGAGTGTAGTATCCTGTGTTCTCCTGGGTGACATTCTGGAACAGCAAGGATCCATTGGAGTATATTGTCTCTCGACCACTGTATAGAGGCCCTGGGATAATTTCTTGTTGCCCTATCGCATACAATGCAATGTGTTGGTTGGGATCTACTCTGGCCCCTTTGTACCAGACATAGGCTGCCAGATCCCCAGGCGGATGGTGGACAAGCAGAAGAACATCCTGCCCTTGGACAGCATTGGTCGGCACCGATTCAATAGTGAGTTGAGCGGCAGTGGGCTGGTTCCAGAAAGTTGTGAGAGAGACTAGGAAGGAATAGAGAGAGAGAGAGATCAATGAATATTTGGACCTATATATTGGGATGGAAAAATGAGGCACTGAGTCCTGAGCAGGTCTCTTCATCTCTTAGACTTGGACTGTGTGGGAGTGTGTGTGTGTGTGTGTGTGTGTGTGTGTGTGTGTGTGTGTCTACTGGTCAAAGTCAGCACCTTCGCCACCATTACTCCAGCCCCTCTGAATTTATTTCCTCTGTTCCCAATGCTCTTCTCCAGGTGTCTGCCTGGCTCACTCCCTCACTGCCCTCAGGACCCTGCTCACTGTCAAGGGCAAACTTGGGAGATGCCTTCCCTGACCTCCTGCTCTGAAGACCCTCTGTCTTCACTTTCTGACCTTTCCCTTGTCTGTTCCCTGCCTGACAATGTCAGTCCCTGAGATCACATTCTAGATCTCTTTGCTCATTTGTCTTCCTCCCCATAGAAGGTGAGCTCCGTCAAGGCAGGGACTTGTCTGATCTTGTGACCCCAGTGCCTGGAATAGACTGCAAACACCTGTGGATGAATGAATATTTCCAGGGCCCTCCACATCCTGGTGTTTATTTGTCAATTTATGAGGTTTATTAGTAAGGAAAACATTAATTGCTCCTGGTTATTTTATTTTCTGAAGTGTCACTCTGATATAGTAATCTTATTTCCAATGTAACTTGAAAAAAATGCAGCAATTGAGGTTTTCCTGCCCCTCACCAATTTCAGTTCGCTAAGAATTTCCTGTTGCTGAGCCCTATTCCCCATCCTACTCTGCTCCTGTGTGTCCTCTCCCCTCAGATCCGCACAGAAGTCCTCTGTCCCCTCTCAGAGTCCTGTCCTCCCTAAGAGACCCCAGCCAGTCTTTGTTCTCCCATCTCCCACCCACCCTCAGGGAATCATCCCCTCTTACCTGCCAGCAGGAGCCCCTGCCAGGGGAAGTGCCCTCTGTGGGCAGGGGCTGACGGGTGCTCCATGGTGTCTGCTGCCTGCTCTGTCCTTTCCTCTGTGAGAAGAGCTTGGGCTCCAGAAATGCTCACAAGCGCTGCTGTCCAAATACTTCAGCTCTGCTGTCCTTCCTCCTTCTGTGCTGAGCCTCCTCCAGAGGCAGGAGGGATTAGCTTGGTCACAGGCACTGTGGGCGGGGTCTCTGTCCAGAGCCCTCCCTCTCTTCCTCTTGTTCCACCTTTCCTTGTCCCCTCCTTTCCCTTTCCTTTCTGTCCACATTTTATTCCCTGGGAACAGCAGAGGCCTCATACATTCTATCTATGATCCGCCCCACACACACACACAGGCACTCCCACTGTTGTTCACACAGGCAGAAGCCTGGGGCATTGGTGTCCTGGGCAGTCCCCACAAGTCTGGGTGAGGGCACACAGTCAGTTTCCCCTGCAGACCCTTCTGTTTCACATTTGACTTTTCCCTTTAGAGTAGGCATTCTGGGGCTGCGTCAGGAACTCTTGTCACAGGGATGCCATGCCTGCTCTGTGTCAGAATCACCTGTGGAACTTCATAAAGATTGTGAATGCCTTGGTGACACAACAGAAATGCTACTTTAGCAACTCCCCAGGTTTAAGGATATCCAGCCTGGCTGAGACCCCATTTTATGGGGGTGGAGCAGCCTCTGTTCTTCTCCTGTTCAGAGTCAGAAGATTCTGTTGAAATGCAGATTCTCACTCACCAGCTATGGGGTGGACTCAAGAGTCTGCATCTAACAAGTTTTCAGATGATGCTGATAATGGAGCACACTTTCATTAGCAAGGCTGATGGGGACCCCTGTCCCCTGAGAGGATGACCCACCCTTCCCCCAGCATCGGCCTAGCTGTGTCCTGGTTTGGGTCTGACAGCACCACACAGAGACCCAGGAGTCTCCAAACCCATGCTGATTATTTCTGTTTGTGACACAGAAACCCAGCTGGCCACCAGGGTCTTCTCAGTGTCCTCAAATGCTCTGGGAAGGTGGGATTTACTCCCAGCCACAAGGTCACAGAGATGACTCTGGGGCTGAGAAACGGGCAAGCTGAGTGATGACTGGTGAGGGGACCAGGCTTCCATCTCCAGGTGTCACCAGCCTGGCCTCTACTTTCAGGGACAGGGACCCAGTACAGGTGTCTCAGGAGCTGCAGTTCCTGAGTGTGAAGGGGGAGGTTTCCTGTGTGTCCTGAATGAGAGGACAGTGGGGGTGGGAGGTCAGGCGACTGTGGGCTCGTTGGTCTTTGGGGTAAGGTTTCAGGGAGACTACCATCCCCTCCATGTCTGTTGGCTGATCTGTGGCTCAGAGCTTGCCCATGTGACCTGGCCATCCTGGGGACTTCTGTCTTCTGTCTGGCTGACTTTCCTGTGGTCACTCCATCTTTCCCACAAATGGTGCCAGGCAGGAAGTGGGGACATGCACAGGGACCCCTGACAGAGCAGGATCTCTGAGGCCCTCAAAAGGGGCAGGTGAGACAGAGCAGACATGTAGCAGGGGCCCAGAAGGGTATGTTAGAAGGAGGTTTGAGAATCTGGCTCCTTCACCTGCTCAGCCAAAGCCAGGTTCATGTGTTAACCTCCCGTGTGTTGTCTGTATGTCCCAATGTTGCCCCCTGGAGGGCAGGATGAGACCTGTGGCCAATGTCAGAGGCTGCACCAGGGATGCTGACCAGGCTTCAGAGGGTGTGAAGGGACCCTGAGCCGTGAACAGAGGTGGGCTCTGATCTCTAGGCTGAGAGGCTGGTAAGTTTGGGTCCTGTGCTTTGAGGATCCCAGGCTGCCTGACTCCATCTCAGTGCAGGGTGAGTCCAGGGAGAGGAAAGGATTCTTGATCTAGTGCCAGAAGAACTGTCCCCCAGGGGATGTGCTGTCTCAGGATGAGCTTTCTGTCCCTGAGATTTAAAGAGTGGGCTTGGTGGGGTGTGTCTTGAAGCTTTTGGGAGAGGACATCGGCCTGGGGGCTGGACTCCAGAATGTCCTGTTTCCTCCATCACAGCATTGGTGTGTTGCATCTAGTCATCTGTGTCTCTGTCTGTCATTTGCTCTAAGCTTCCTCACAGGGCCGAGGAGCTGGAGCAGCCCCACATAAAGACTCAGACAGGGGATTCTGTGGATTCCTCTGTTAGGAAAGAGAAGGCACCCATGGGAACGTCAGCCCCTCTGAGATGGAAGCAAATGCAGATCCCTTTCTCCTATTCTATCCTGGATGGAAAGTTCCTCTCATTCCCTGAGTTGCCTTGAGCTGGTGAGATGCTTTCACGGGATCACAGCCAGGTGTCCCCACAGACCAGGGACCCTGGAGGTGGGGAGTTGTCCCATGATTCTTTTGAAGTCAAGGTGGGGCTCCCTCCTCTCATGGTGGTAAGTCCACAAGATGTTTAAAATTCAGAGTTTGTACCAGGTCAGGTCTCTGTGAGAAGAGGAAGGACACAGGCTGCTGGCTCAGGCTTTCCAGGGAGAGAAGTCCCTCACGAGGTAGAGTGGGAGTGAATGAGGATCTGACCCCTCACTGTTAGGAGGGCCCTGTCCTCCCTCCTGATTCCAGAAGGGAAAGGTCCATCTCTAGGAAAGCTCTGTTGGACTCCTACCATGATGATGCCGGTGCCCCCATGTCTACATGGAATGTGTTCTGACTCCCAGGTGTCACACAGGGATGACAGGCTTCTCTTGTGTGATTTCATTTGTCTATTTAATGAGTGTTTACTGAGCATCTATGATGTGTCAAGCCTTGGTCTGGGCCCTGGAAACTCCACAGAGAACAGGCAACATGCGGACCCTGGTTTCATAGAGTTTACCTTGTGACTAGGAGACAGGCAATCAGAGAAAATCATGGAACTAAGCAGTTAATTGTAATTGAGAGAAGGGCCCTGAAGAGAAAGTGTCTGGTGCATCCAGAGCATGTAGTGGAGTCTCTAGTGGTCTGGGGATCACTGAGACCACCCCTGAGAAAATGATCTTTTGGCTGAGACCTGAAGTGTGAATGGATGTTCTCACCATGAAGGACAAAGCATGTGGAGGGAAGAGCTGCCTACGGAGGGACCAGCATTTAGGAGTCAGACACCTGGCTGGATGGAGGGGCTGACAGAATCCAGTGTGTGGAACTTGGAGAGCGAGGAGGACGGTGGACTGAGTGAGGCTGGTGAGGGACAGAGCCTGCTGGACTGTGGGTGATTCTGAGGGAGGTCAGCAGCCCCCTGGGGAGGCTTCAGGCTGTGGAGCAGCTCTGCTGCTCTCTGGTGGAAAAGGAGGGAAATGTAGAGGCAGAGGCCCCATGCCATGCAGCTCTGTGTGTTTATTCAACATCAAGCTGTAGACGTTTTACATGGGTCACATATCATGTTAATACTCCATCATATTCTCGCTCTGTGAGTCCCAATCTCTCTTGCTGTAAGTGCATTGGGCCTGCCTCTTCCCTCAGTGACATGTCGCCAAACTCAGATTCCAAAGAGTGTATATCTATTTGTATTCGTCTCCATAAGTTACATCATGCATGCCCCTGGGTGGAGTGATGTGTGTGGTTGGAGCACTGGCTTGTGGTTCTCTGGGAAGGAGGAAGAGCAGATACACCAGGTGTATCAGGAGGGGAAGGTCTGTGTCATGGGAGCAGAGGGGGGAGGATGGACAAGTCAACTTCCCTTCCTACTCTCAGGTCCTGGTGCCCAAACAGGAGCCCTGATTCTGGGGACACACAGGACCACACACCACTCTGTGTCCCTGGGTCAGGTGAGATGGGAGCTGCTTCCTCACCTGTTTATCAGGACCTGGGCCTAATGTGTGCCCTGTGCCCATGGCTTAACTCTCAACTGTTAAGTCCACATTGATCCACATTTGTTGTAGGCACTGTCTGTCCATATCAGCTGTAAATGGAGAAGCCCTGGTCCCGAGATTGCTTCACACACACAGTCCCACACAGCACCTCAGCTGGACCCTCACAGTGCCTGTTTTATTTCTCTGTATCTCTCCCCATTCCCAGGGTTCTTTTCTTGTACCACCTTCTCCCTGGGCCTCTGTGGACAACCTCAGCCAGAAGCCTCACCTGCTCCTGTTCCACGCAGCTGCTTTTGTACTTGCTGCCCCCTCACACTCTCTGGGCCTCACTAGCCTCTAATATGTTCTGACCCCTGACTCCTGTGAGGGAAGAAGGAGGAAGCTGAAGTTGGCGCTCTCCAAGGTTCTCCACTTTCTGGGTAGCAGGAGAGTGAGGAATCCTGACGTGTCGATGGAATCATTATTGTCTCTTGGTAGAAGCATTTCTATCTTTGGAACCCAGACTCTAGGCAAGCAGCCCATAATGTCATGGGGACAGAAAGCAGAAATTTTGCTAGTGGATCACTAGAGGTATAGAGAGTGGTGTCACTCCCATTTCAACCCTTGATTCCCTGACCCGAGAATCCTGGATTTGGGAGAAACAGCACCACATCTTGGACACTGATTCAGAGCATATACTGGAGTACATTCCCCCAGCCCTGCAAGGTATTGGCACCTAGCTGGTCCTGTAAGTGAGTTTCCAAAAGGCCATTCCACTTTTCTATCAAGCCAGCTGCTTCAGGATGCTAAGATTGGTGGACTCCATGAGCATTGGCCCATTGCTGCATTTCATTTGCTTTGAAGTGAGTCCCTTGATTAGAAGCAATCCTGTGTGGAATACCATGATGGAGAATAGGGCATTCTGTGAGTCCACTAATGGTAGTTTTGGCAGAAACATTGTGTGCAGGGAAGGCAAATCTGCATCCAGAGTCCAGAGTAACTGCCTATTCCAATAAGAACAAAATGCTTTCTCTTCTATAACAGAAGTGGTCCAAAGTAATCAGCCTGTACTAGGTATCTGGCTGGTTACCCTAGGAAATGCTGCCATATTGGGGGCCCAGTGTTGGTCTCTGAGCTGGTAGATGGGCACTTAGCAGTGGCCATAGCTAGGTTGGTCTTGGTGACTGGACATACATGTTGCTGAGCCCATGCATAACTGCCTCTGTCTCCCCATAAGCAGAGGAGGAGGGAGACAGAGGGGAGCCTAGTCTGAAGAAGGGCCCCAATACACCCACAGGTTTCTGAGAACAGAAGAAACCAAAGCATTCTGTGTGAGAGCCAGCTCAGCCTGGACCCCAGTCATGATGCTCATGATGGTTCCAGCAGGGAAAATGGTGCTG